GAATATTAACATTATAATGTACTGCGAATATGATAATTTAATTGAGATTGATGCAAATCGTGATGTAATTGTAGATTATAATTAATTAATAATAGTTATTATATATTGATATATTTAAAAATGGATACTTTTGAAATCAATAATCTACTTAAAGATCTCAAATGCTTTAAAGGAACATATGCACGAGATTTATTACCATTACAAATTTATAATCAAAGACCCATAGGGTTTATAATAAATACAGATCAATCACATAAACCAGGCGAGCATTGGGTTGCATTATATATAACAAAAGATAATATTGCTGAGTATTTTGATTCATTCGGCAGATCTCCTATAAGCGAAGTATTGGCGTTTTCTAAACTTAATAAAATTAATACATTAATATACAATAATAATATAATTCAATGTATGTTTTCAAGTAATTGTGGTTTGTATTGTATTTTATTTATAAAATTAATGTGTAATTTAGTTTCATTTAAAGATTTCTTAAGTATTTATAGTAACAATCAATGTCTTAATGATTTAATAACTATTAAAAGTATATAATAGTAAGTTAACTTTGTAATGTTATATATTACCATGGATAAAATACGTTCAAAATTTAATTTTTTAAAGAAATTACGTAAAAGAAAAAAAGGATACAAACGTTTAAGATCGTACGCTAGTTTAAATTCGGTATTACCTGATACTGAAGATACATACAAAAGTTATTCGACTCCAAATTTATCGTTTACAAATCCGTTATACAATCAAAAAGGTAAGGGTCGACGACGTATTAAAAGACGAAGACGCATCCAACGGCGACGTCGCACAATACGTAAAAAGTCATTAGTTCTTAAACGAAGAAGAGTTAATAATAGGAGAAGAAGAAGAAGACGTCGACGTAATTAAAAATGGATAAAATTTGTGCTATCGTAGATTGTCAAGGCTATCAGTTCACAGATAAATTTGTACCCAGAGAAATAGCGATCGTTGGCGACGGCATTGGTCAATGCCAAGAGCTCGATACAGATATTGATTGGGGTGATTTATCCAAACAAGATCAACAGATTGTAATTTATGCAATCAATAATATACATGGTTTACATTATAAACCTTTTAACCCTAAAAACTATTGTTATATACCTAAATCTATAAATGTTGGAGATGTTTTAAGTATGTGGTATAATCAGATAGCAACAGAAGAGAAACCCTTATTTGGGTTCAAAGGGTACCAGATGGGTAATATTCTTCAAGCACTTGGTATCCCATGTATTGATTTGGAAACAGATTTGAATTTCCCTTCGTATGAAGAGATACAAGAAAAATATAATGATTCATATTTATGTGCATTTCATAAAAAACCATATATTAATAACTATAACAGACACTACAATAGGCAATATCAGAGACTCAACAGGCAACTTATTTGTGCATATAGAAAAGCATGTCATTTATATAGAGAAATTAAATCTATGCAAATTGTATTGGATGAAAAGTATAATAGTAACCAAAATATGTAACAAAGTAATGCAAAATGTTAAACATGTGGAAATCTATTTATGCATTGAACTTAAGCAATAATAAAGATAAAGATTTTAAATTAGCTCAAGTGCTGGAAAGTAGAGATATGGGTTTAATATTTGATTTACGTCAAACATATAAAGGTCGCTGTACTAAGGCTGGTATAGCATTATTGGTACCTGAATTTGAATGGTTTAAAAATGCTATAGTATCTAATGAAAAACGTTTATATACACTTGAACATGGCAATAGAATCATAAAGATTGACAAGACATTAAATGAAGTATTGGTTACTTTAAAAAGATATGACGAGTCAGAACGCAAAGTATTGATCGATGCTGATGAAATTAGTAAATTATTAGTTAACATAAATGATATTGAAAATAAGTTAATTACCCGAGCTGTAGAGCTTGACATCCCTACAAACTTTTCTGAATACAATTATGTTAATCAATACATTGAATAATTACAAATATATAAATTTTATTTATTAATTTTTTAATTTTTAAGTTACATTTGTATGTATTATATAAATATTGAATAAAATATGTTTTTAAAAATAAAAAAAATGTTTATTTATTTAAATGATGAATATATGAAAGAGCGTAGTCGAAATAAATAGTTTCAATAAGCGGTAAAGTATTAGTTATATAATTATAGTCCCTGTCAACCTGAATACTTAAATAAGTGTTATCTTTTTTACAATAAAATACCAAAAAACCGTATTTTAAATCCAAAGCATACATTGACATCTGGAGTTGATGATAATATGGAGAATGTCGCCGTACTCTCCAGCGCCGTCCGTTGTATCGAATATAGTTGTCCATCCGATTTTGGGCCACTTTCTCAGCACGTCTGACTTTATCCAATTGTTGATTACCATTACCAAAGTAAAAATCAATGTTGTGCTTCTTTAGTTTTGCGATCGACTTAATTTCCACAACGAACGCCGGTTTTTTGTTGACGTACCCAAGACCGTCAATCTCCGCCGAAATAAACGGGATGTTTGGGTGGCGGTAGTTGAAGCCATTCTTTATGACAACGCTTTCATCGCAGTCTTTACGCATCACATCCAGACACTTGTGCTCACATGATTCGCTGTCCATTCGTTGCTCAGATCTTGGACGTCCTATGTTTCCCACCTCCAAATACCAAACGATTTCAAACATCAAATCTTCCATAAGATTTTGCTGATAAAGTTCAAGTAATCGATACGAAATATTAGCGCCAAATGAAAGTTTTGGTAATCCAGTAAATCCATGTTTGATAATATGATGAAACATTCGTTTATCAACACCAGATACAAAACTGTTGTAAAACTCATAGAACTGATTATGAGTATAATCATTGGTCGAACTGTACCATACTTTAGACATACGTCTATGTAATAAACTTATATCTCGAAAGTTATAAGTGTACATTTTGAAGCAAATGGTGATTTGGTCTCCAGTACCCATCGTTTTTATACGAGAAAGTGAAAACTTTAAACCAATGAAATTAAAGCATGATGTTATAAAAACGAGTTTATTCTTGAGATTAAAACATGATTTTATACCAGTCAACCAATGAAATTAAAGCATGATGTTATAAAAACGAGTTTATTCTTGAGATTAAAACATGATTTTATACCAGTCAACCAATGAAATTAAAGCATGATGTTACAGAAACGAGTTTATTCTTGAGATTAAAACATGATTTTATACCAGTCAACCAATGAAATTAAAGCATGATGTTATAAAAACGAGTTTATTCTTGAGATTAAAACATGATATAAATCCGGTTAAAAGTTCAAATGCCTTAGTTTGAATTATGGATCCTACCGTGACAGTCACGAATATTTGTGCTAAATTTAATATTGGATGCTATTTAAATTTATATGAAATTTTAAATAATGATTTTTATGATATATTAACCAATAAAAAATATGACCCTAAACGATTTAGTGGTTTGACTGCAAAATATAATGATAGCAAATTGACTTTTATGCTCTACAATACAGGTGTAGTTGTTATGACTGGTGGGAAATCTGAATTGGAATTAGAGTTTGCAGCTAACGAGCTTGTGTTTACATTAAGTTATATAGGGCCATATGAAACAAAACTGGTCAAGTTTTGTATAACAAACTATTGTGCTGTATATAAATTTGGAGATAAAGTGGATATAAACCAAATATGCATCGATAGAAAAAAACAATGCGATTATTCACCTGAATTATTTATATCTTTAAAATATATTGTTAAAGACAAAAAGTTAACTCTCACACATAATGGTATTCTATTTGGCACTGGTTTTAAATCACGCGCGCATCTAATCGATGTTTTTGAAAATGCTATTCAAGAAATTAAACCTTATATTAGGAAGTGAACATTTTATATTTTTATTTAAAAATGGAATTTGATTTTTACAATAAATTTAAATCTATTAAAGATTATTTACAATTAATTATAATAAGCATATTAATTATTTTATGTATAATAACAATTGGTATTATGAATAAATTAATAATTATTGAAAATTTAATTAAAATGTTACAATTAAATTGTACATTAAATAATTCAAACAGAATTGTAAATTATGATAATATAAGATTAAGTTAAATAAAATTGTTAAATATAAAAATATGTTTGATTAATTAGAATAATTAGAAAAACCCCCATCCCCCCATGTTGAAATAATATGTGGGTCATATCCGGAATGTCGAAACATTTGATTATTATATATTTTTTGATAGTACGCGCTGTTAATGTCATCGAGATCTTGGCTGAATAAATATGACCGAAGTGGTCCATTTCTTTCCATATTTTGGTAGCAATCAACCATTCCGGCCAACACATCAGGGTATATCGGTAAAGAAAATGAAGCCATTTCTTCTCCAAACGTACATAAGAGCAATTTTTGAATACGATTAGTTTCTTCAGCCAAGCAATCCATAGCAAACTTTAAATTATGTGATCTGCGTAATTCATAAAAGAATTGATACAAATTGGCGACCATAAGAAACTCGTCCACAAGTTGACAATTAATATTTACACGATCCTTTTTACCCAAAAAATACAATACAATATCAATTTTCTTTTGTTCAAATGATGATGAAATATATTTTTTGCCACATATGACAAGATGATACGCATATTCACCACTATAAAACTTGTTTTTACAATAAATACAATTAAATACATAGTTACTATAGATGTGTTTTGGTTCACCGTTAACGAATCGTTTTCCCATTTTCATGAGTAATACTGATTTTTTTCAAATGTTCGTTTAGTTTTATACATAGATATATCATGACGTCAACGTTATTGAAATCATTGAAAAATAAATAAAATCTTTTGATTGGTTAAACAACCTGAAAACTACTAAAACAAGTTTCATCTGTTTATATATAATGACGTCAACGTCAATGAAATCATGTTAAAATAAATAAAATTATTTGATTGGTTAAACTACTCCTAAACAACTAAAACAAGTTTCATCCCTTCGTATATAATAGCATGATTGTTAGTATGTACAATCATTATACATCATGGAAGAAGTTACACAAGTTGTGCTGACTATTTCAGAGCCTACATATGAGACGTATGAAGAGCGAATTGCAACATTTTGCGAAGATTGGAATACATTATATTATGTGTCGTCAGTTTCGTTAGCAAATGCTGGTTTTTATTCTCTTGGTATTAGCGATTGCGTACAATGTTTCACATGTAAAGGTAAGCTATCAAATTGGGAAATATGGGATGATGCGTGGAAAGAGCATGTAAATGGGTATCCGACATGTAAATATATAATGGAGGTTAAAGGGTTAGAATTTATTATTGAAACCATTCGGAGATATCGCGATGTTGTTGAAAACCCGTGTGCTTTAGGTTATAGAGATGCTAATGTACGTAATTGGTTGAATGAAGATATTGCAGTTCAAATGTTAATTTCAGAATATTGTGAATATAATACATTAAAAGCTGTAATGACTCTCAAATGGAATAGCGGAAAAGGACCGTTTCGTTCGTATAATGAATTACAAGAAGTTGTAGATATATATATAAGGACAGCAAGGAATAACAATATAGTTGGTGGTAGTGATAGTGATAATGAATATGATATACCACATAGATCAAATAACAACCGTTCACATCCTCTGGGAGGTTTTAAAGATACAACAGTACGTGGTTGGTTAAAGGATGATATAGTTGTACATGCATTAGAATTAGAATTAGTTACATACCCTGGATTAATAGTGATACTGAATAGAAGATATGATGAACAAATAGGCCCATTTGATAGTTTTGATGAATTATATGACACTATTAAAAATTATAATAGAAATAGGAATAGAAATATAATTGATTCTGATACTACACCCGTTGCTATACCAGAAACTTCTACCCTTACAATTGCTGATAATGAAAAATTAACATGTAAAATTTGTTTAGAATACGAGATTGGGGTTGTTTTAATTGGCTGTGGTCATCAGATTTGTACAGGTTGTGAAAGAAGTATAGATCGTTTTAATAGAATATGCCCTATATGCCGCCGGTGTATTAGAAAAACTTGTCGTACATATTTTTCGTAACCGGTTTTGGGTAAAAAAAATCATTGATAAATATATAAAAATTTCTATTGGTTGAAATATTAAATGATGTAATGGTATTAAGAGTATATATATCGTAGTCACAAGTAAACTGGGTTCACAATGAGTTTATTACTTCGCTTCGGAAGATCTTCATTTGACAGATTTGGTTGGGACCTTACACAACTCATACTTTCACATTTAGACTTCTTTGATCGAATCAAATTTGAGTGCGTTTCCAAAGAGTGGAAAGAAGTCATATTTGCAAACAGCCACATCACAACATTAAAGGTAAATTATTTTTATTGTAATCATAGACTATTTGAACGTCTTATATTTAACTATTTTTCAAGTATTCGAAGTAAATGTAAAAGCATTTATAACTTTGATATTATTATTAACGACAGTTTTGATTTATTTATCTTTAAAAATTTTATCAAATATTACAAATTTAAAGTTTTACATGTAAAATATTTTGATGAAAAATTTTATATTAATTTAAAGTATTTATTTTCTTTAATTTTGAATTGCAAAAGTTTAAAAGTTTTAAAGTTAACTATATATAGCGTAGAAAGCAGTGATAGATTGTGTGAAGAAGCTATAATATTACATACATATATCCCGATTTATGCTAAACATTTCAATACATTCACTTTTAACTTAAATTGCTGCGGAAGTTGCCATACACACTCTTATTTTTATAATAGAAGTAAATCAATTTACAAATTAAATTTATAGTTATTAAAAATGAATACGGGGCTTGAGTTAATTCTTTTAAATGGGACCTCTAAAAAAACATACGATAGATTTAACAGAACAGAATATAAATCAAAATTCATTTTAAAACATAATGTATTATCAGAAGTTAATTTAAATAATGTAAAAATAGAATTCATCGATAAATTAGGAGATTTAATTCAAAGTAGCTTACAATCCGCAGAAAATGAAGATTATTTTTCAATTTCATTAATACACCCAGAGATGGAGACTCCAATATTTATTGCACCCCGAAAAGTAGTTGATTTTGATATTATAACTATATTTAACCGAATTGAGCGAATTATTCAAAGTTTCAAATCATTTCTATTAAATGGCCAGTTTGAATTAGTTGTTTCAATTACTAAAAATATGGTGGGATCAGGTAAAAAAGCTTTACCTAAAGCACCTAAAACTATTGACGAAATCAATAAATCTAAATTATCAATTGTAACTATAATTAATGATGATGCAACTTGTGCATTTAGAGCGTTATCTGTATCTAAATATTATTGCGATAATAAAAATAATTTAAATAGAAAAGATTGGCGTTACATAATTAGATCAGATAGACCGAAACAATTACATATGGCTGAACAGTTAGCTCGATTTATAGATATGGAAGTTAATAAGATTGTTGGCATAGAAGAATGGAAAATAATTCAAAGTAAATTAAATAATTATCAAATATACATAATTGATTCATTGAATAAATATAATATACTATTTAAAGGTCCAGATAATCAAAATAAAATATATATACAGTATAATGATAAACATTATAACTCGATTGTAAATATTAAAGGATATTATGGTAACGGTTACTTTTGCACTACATGTCATTACGGTTACAATACATTTACTGATCATAAATGTCCTTTTAAATGTTCAGCGTGTTATTCAGTATGTAACTCCGGTACCAATGAAAAGATATTATGCATGGAATGTAATCGAGAATTAAAGAATGATTGTTGCTTTACAAATCATAAAAATAATAATTTATGCAAAAATTTAAAAAATTGTTTAATTTGTAATTTAAATTATAAAGGGAAAAAAGAGCATGTATGTGGAAAATTCAGATGTAATAAATGCGGGAAACAATATATTACACAACCTCATTATTGTTACATTGAGCCTAAATTAATTAACGATTTGGTAACTGAAGATAAAATTAATAAATTTATAGTTTCATATGATATTGAATGCACACAGGAAAATCTAGAACATGTACCAAATTTGTTAATTTCTAAAGTTCAATGTGATTTATGTAAAGATTGGTCAAATTGCGTAATCTGTAAACAAAAAACCAACATTTACTTTGGTTCAGATTGTATTAAATTATTTGTAGATTATTTATTTCAAGATCTAGCTGTTTTAGCTGAGAAAACTAAATCATTAATATATGCATTTGCACATAACGCTCGCGCGTATGATGCGCAATTTGTGTTGAGAGAATTATGGAATAGATATTATGATAAAGTGGATGTTATATTACGAGGTAGAAAAATATTATTAATTAAGTGTGGTAATGTAAAAATGTTGGATTCGTTAAATTTTTTCTTGCAATCGTTAGAAAAATTACCTCACGCATTAGGGTTAGATATATCTGTTAAAAAGGGTGATTTTCCTCATTTATTTAATAAGCGTTCAAATTATACTTATATTGGTAAAATTCCAGATTTGGAATATTTTGGATTAGAATATATGTCAATAGAAAAAAAGACAAAAATTGAAGAATGGTATCAAACACAACTAGATAGAAATGATTGGTGTTTTAAAGATGAATTAATTAATTATTGTATTAATGATGTAGATATATTATTAAAGTGTGTTATAAAATTTAGAGAAACTTTCAAAGATATTACAGGCTTAGATCCTATAACTCGGTCTTTTACTTTGGCATCTATTGCCATGGAAACATTTACTACATTATTTTTAAATAGTAATGAATTAGCTAATACACCTATTGGGGGTTATAAAAAATCTAAAGTTTTTTCAATTGCCAGTAATTGTTGGTTAGATTGGATTGAGAAAATTGATAATGTAAAACTAATTAGAGAATATAGAATTGGGAAATATTGGGTGGATGGGTTTGACCAAAATAACAATACCGTTTATGAATTTTTAGGCTGTTATTGGCATGGATGCTTATGCCAAAAATTTATTGATAGAACACAAAAGTATATAGTATCCAGAGGTGATTCCTATAGTCTGAATGAACGATACGAGCAAATTATTGAAAAGTTAAATTTTTTAAGAAAGAATTATACATTAATTAATTTATGGGGTTGTCAATTGAGTAAAAATATATCTGAAAATTCTGAATTAAAAAATTATTATAATACAAGATTTAAATATTATAAAACATTAAATAAAATAGGCCCAATAAATATTCGAGATGCATTTTTTGGTGGTAGAACTAATAATATACAATACTATAAACAAATAAATGACGATGAGGAAATCAAATATTTAGATTTTTGTAGTCTTTATCCGTTTGTTTTAAAATATTTTCCTTATCCTGTAGGCCACCCCGAAATAATTAACAAAAATTTTGATTATACATTACAAAGTTATTTCGGAATAATTAAATGTAAAGTAATTGCCCCTAAAGGGTTATACTTACCTGTATTGCCTGTCGTAGTTAACAAAAAATTAACATTTCCTCTATGTGTTGGATGCGCTAAAAATAAATTAGATGAATGCACATGCACAGATCGATCATTCATAGGAACATGGGTAAGCGAAGAATTAATTTTAGCTATCGAAAAGGGGTATTTAATAAAAGAAATATATGAAGTATTAAATTTTAAATGCGATATTAATGAAAATAAATTTATTAAATATATTGATATGTGGCTTAAAATAAAGCAGCAAGCATCGGGTTGGCCTAATTGGTGCGTCACTGAAGAGGATAAGAGAAAATATATAGGTAATTATAAAAATAAAGAAAATGTAGAATTGGATTATGATAAAATTGAAAAGAATGAGACTTTACGTTGGTTAGCTAAAATAATGCTTAATTCATTTTGGGGCAAATTTGCTCAAAGACCGAATCAAACACAGACAGAAATAATTAAATCTATTAGTGATTACTATGACATAGTCTTAGATAAAGAAAAAGAAATTAAAGGTGATTTTATGGTTACAGACGATACAATGATTTTAACTTGGGAGTATAAAAATGATGAAATGGCAAAAGCGCGAAAATTTAATTTAACTGTTGCTAGCTTTGTAACGGCATATGCTCGTATTAAATTGTACAATTTAATGAACCAAATAGAATTAATTAGACCATATAGTCTCTTATATCATGATACAGATTCCGTGTTATATTGTAGAAATGTCAATGACCCTGAAATTGAATGTGGTGATTATTTAGGTGATTTAACTGATGAGATTATAAAAAATTATGGTGAAAACGCAAAATGTATTGAGTTTGCATCGTTAGGTCCTAAAAATTATGGGTATAGTGTACAAACTGGTGATGGGGTAAAATCCGAAATAAAATGCAAAGGCATTCAAATGACATATCTAGCCAAACAAAGTATAGATTTTAATAAAATCATTGAATTAGCAACTAATCCAGATTCAGAACCGGTTTATGTGCAACAACGTCGATTCGACTTGAATAGGCATAGTCAAATTAAAACAAGATATTTTGATAAAAAATTTAGAGTTACGTCAGATAAAAGATATTTAAAAGGTCAGTTAACTTATCCGTATGGTTACTAACTGGAATTACCAATGATGCAATAATTTGTATTAAACAATGATTCAACTTATCGTCATATTTAGTATAAATAGTGCTTGTCTTGAGCAAAGCTTTTCATTTCATCGTGTTCAGCTCGACGAATAACTTGGATTCAACTAACCAAAACTTGGTAAGTAAAAATGTCTCATATAAATTTGTTAGATTTAGATGACTATAAGTTTAATTACGAAGATGATATACTTGTAATATCTAATACTATTTCAAATATAAAAGAAAAATACAAAACTATTGATTCCCTTCAAATAAAAATTAGATACGAATTTCAATTATTTGTTTTAAAATATTTACTTAAACATTATAAACTTAAAGAACTTGATGTGTGCATATTTGATATGTACTTTGATGTTCGTTTACCTGCTTTTTTAAAACCGATTCGTGATTGTAAAAGTATAAAAAAATTAAAAATTAATATAGATAGTATTAACAATAGTGGTAAATTATGTTATGAAAATGAATATTTTGAAACTTTAATAGATAAATTTTCTAAAAGATATGATATTTTTGATTATGTATTAACATGTGATGGTTATTTACACCGACATGCACATTATTACGATTATATTAACAATATAATAAAAAAGGATAATTTCAATGCGTGCGATTTAATTTATAAAAATATGAAAAAGGTTGAATTAGTTGTCAAACAACCTGTTAGTCTTAATCATCAATTTTATAAAGATATAATTAACGATCCTAAGACTTGTTCTTACGGAGGATATGGATGTATATCTTATGAACCACCAATAAATGTTAAAACCTACAAGTCATGCCCTGATCTAACGAGCACACGTTAGA